ATATATAGTATATATATATATATATATATATATATATATATATATATATATATAATATATATATATATATATATATGCATCATGCCTCCGAGTCAATGATGCCTCCTGATGGTGGTGAAACAGGACGCTCAGTCGGTTGATCGGTTGGGTAAATAGATTGCTTGTTCAGTCACTCACAATAGTTATAGTTGATATTGTCCTCCTGTCACTCACTATCGATGTTGCTGTCCTGACGAGGTGGATGGTGCTGCTGTGAAACCCGTGATGGTGCTGATGGTGTATTGTTCCCAATAACAACAGTGACAGGGAGGGATTGAAGGTGGGGAAGGAGGAGGAGGAGGAGGAGGAGGAGGATGAGAAGGAGGGCAGAACTGTGATGCTAGTGGTAGTGGTAGTAGTATCTGCTTAGAGGAAGGTGACAGGATTATTTACTAAGTTACACATTCTCGTCCTGCTTCACGGATCCTGATGGAAGCATCAGTCTACCAAACATTGCTGAAAAATTGGTTAATCCGGGATGACTGTTCAAATGACTACCTTCAAAGTATATTTTACCCATGGGTTGGTGACCAATTTTGTTGAACACTGACACGACTCATACGAGCAACAGACCGTTACTATAAATTGTTTGTAAAGTCCAGAAGGAGGAGGCCATCGATGTTATCATCCACGATGTTATATTTCTTTTTTCCCACTGGTCACAACATTTTCTTTTCTCATTTTTCAATTAACCAGTCAATTTTCCTAGCATATTTAGATTTATTTGTGTAGATATTACAGAATCGTGGAAAAACTTGATGTATCCTCCTCCGATGTCCTTTTAAATACGGAATACCTAGGAATGGATGGATTACACGTGGATCGTTGCTGGCACATACTCAATGGCACTAGATGAATTCACGGTTCACCTCCTATCCGTGCATTCGCCAGTTCCATAGAGCTGTGCAAGTGCTTGCTATCTCCAGTTAATTTACCTTCCAATTCTATTCACTTTGTTGAAATTGCCTAGCTTTATAAAGATTATCTTCCTTTTCTCACCCGTGCAGTCAATAGTTATCCGGTTAATGATTATCCGGTTAGCTGATAGCATCCTCAACAAGTCTTTGCTTTCTCCCATATAATATTGCTCAGATTATTTTCCATTTAAATTTGCGATATCTTTCACGGGTAAAGTTTATTTCACTTTCATCTCAGTTATGCTCCTCATAACCTTTCACAAACGATTTCCAATTATCTTCATTTGAATCTTGGTTTCATTTGCTCTCCTGGAAGATCGTATTATTTTTGATGGCGAACAGCGGAAAGAATAATCTGTTTTTGCAAATCCCGATGACATCAACTTTTTCATGGTCTTTCGTACTCGTTTAATCACTGTATTCATAACAATAATTTGCAAAAAATATTTTACAGGTCATATTTTTGATTTGAAATTATTCTCATCATCTTTTAGAATCAGTATCTTGATTTTGGATAATTCGGTTTTTTTTTTTACCGAAATTTTCTAGAACGACATAACTGAAAGTAGGGATAATTTTGTGGTTATCAAATCAGTAACAATAAGTAGAGAAATCCGTCGTTTTTGAATTGAAATGTAATTATATTGGAAAGGTCACCCAGAATTCTTCATCTCTATTGAACTATTTCTTGAACCCCAATTCTATAATCATGGATTACAAGCATACGGAGAATTGTACTGAGTCCGTAGTTCAGATATTCTCAAATTCTCCCTCCCAAAAAATGACCAGTAACCAAACATCAAGTTGACCCATCGTTTACATTTTGATTTATGGCTTCAGTTTCATTTTGCAAGTGCTGTCGTCCGAGTGTGCCTGCTAGAAATTTTAATAAATGACCAATCTGTGGATTAGTTAACACGTTAAACTACGTAACTTGCGAGTTGATGATTTAAACAAATCTGATTCATTTGTGAAATAATGTTCTATTGATTGTTTTGGTTTTCGTTACAAAAAATAAAAATAAACGAAGAGAAAAAAGCCTTTTTAGTGTCTTGGAAAATTGTCATTTTTATGCTAATTATATTTTTATAAATCATTAGCTGATAATAGTTGGATTGATCATTTAGATCTGTTTGATTCTTCCACTTTCGTTTATTTTTCAGTTTTCTTTTGATCGAAATCGACTCAGAAACTATGAGGAGAATTGTAGAAACGAAAATTATTACAAGAAAATTGATCTTTCAGAGAAAGTTTTAACGAATGGAATTTGATGGCGAAAGAAATCCCATAATATAAAAATAAGCATTCGAATTCTGTTTCACAATCTTGAACTATTATTACTTGAATACTATAACTGTTCCGAATGAAATATGTACCACTTTTGCAAGTACCGTTTTGATCTGGTATATCAATTTAAGCTAAAATTACAGCATGCGTTCTTGCAGTGTCATTAGTATATCAGATCGTCTAATTTTAGATAGAAAAAGAACAAAATGGAACTGATTCGATGGAAGATAAGTTTGACAGTCTGATCCATGCTTGCGACAATTTTGACATGAACAATGGGATATCATCAACAAGCTTCATTCATGTTTGGCTTAATAAAATTAAATTTTTTCATCCCATCATATCTTTTTGTAATCATCTTTGAATATTGTTGCTATTTACATTAAAATGAAATTTTTTATAATTCATCCCAGATCTTTGAATCAGTTCCTATCCCGGTACTTGATTCAGTTACTTTTACTCCTTTTCCTTCCTCTTTTTTCTCTTCTTATTAATAATGGTGTTGAAATAAGCTGATTCTTTCTTTTTTTATTCTCAAACCATTGCAGTACTAGTTATAAGGATAAACATATAAACTATGAATGAAACATACGGCAGATCCAATGTAGTTTGCGATTTCTGGATCAGCAATTACTTAAAGATTCAGTAATGGTTTTCATGTATTTTGTTTGTTGACAATGCTTATCTGTGCGACTGTACTTGTTCATTTCTTCAGTTTAAATTTTTTGTTGAGAAATTCAAAATATTCGAAATTGTTGCTTTTGCTTGCATGCATTTACTTCTTAATAAAATTTCAAAAAAAAACTTGTTAAACTATTTAATCGATATCATTTTATCATTGATCGTCGATTATTTTTATACGAAATATTTTGTAGCAGTCAGTTCAATGAATATGTAACTAAAATATTGTGACAAATATTTGAAACAATGAAGTAAAATATAAGCTTAAAAATAATCACTTATAAAATTTAAAAATGTATTGATTGTCGATTATTTGATTATGTTGTCATGGTGTACCTCCAAGACTTCTCAACTTTTCTTAAGGTCTTAGCTCAAGTTTTGCACTTGTCATAAATATTACATAGGTCATATTATCGTGCACTGTTTCACTGTGATATACATTCCAGAATGAATTTTGGAAATTTCCCCATAAACTCTTCAACATGAATGAGATATAGAATAAGTAACATAAAGGATTGAATCCTGTTTAGATGATTTAAATCAAATTATTCACTTTGTTTATTATTAGCTTTAGCTGAAAATTTGAAAGGTTAGATTGTCAAAGAGCAGGTTTTCTGAATTTTCTCATCTGACTCGACTTTAACCTTGTGTGAATAAAAGTTATGGTAGTTTGAAAGTCAAATATGTATTAAAGTTGCAAGAGATCAAACAGTTGTATAAAATCGTTACTTGATGACTATAAAATTTTTACGTTCCCAAATGGTTATCACTCCACCTTTTTCTATTTCCCCTTCTTCTTTTCCCTCGAAACTAAATTAGCAGGGAAAAACCCCGCTATATTTTGAGGGAATCTGGAAGTTCCAAGTATGCTAGTAGTTGGACTGGACACTTTCAGGATACAGCAACAAAAAATATTACAGTTCATTCAAGTTTAAGGATAAAAAAAAAAATAGTTTGGTGAGAAAATAATTCAATCAAGGATCTACTTTGAATTTTTCACTTTAAATGCTTATATTCTTATTGAAAGAAATGTCCAAGTTTTCAAAATCATGTTGCAGAGGTTGCTGTTTTTACTCTTTTAATCATCCCCAAAACAATTTGTTAGCTTTTTATCAATGAATTTTTAAGTTGTATATGACATTTCACGTAGTGCTAATGTAAATTATCCGCCTCTAAAAGTGATCTATTTTTATTCAGTTGCGCGTCAAACATCATTTATTTCTACTTTAATGTATATTTTTAACTTCAGTTACTTTCATTCATTTAAATATAATTTCAACTCAAATTAAATGATTTTTTCAAATATAACACTACCATCGTATCTTTGTTATAGTTATTCCGTACCTACTATAATAATCCGGATAAACCATTCCAGATTCAGTATGCATTGGTTATTATACGTATGAAATTAACAATAATCCGTGTGGCGTCGATTTGCCTGATTCGCATTATCGATTGATTGTGAATTCAAATAATAAATTTCAGTGAGCTTGGTTGAAATAAATTTTGATGTTCATAGCATGATGTAAGGACTATTATTGCTCGGATAGAGATGCAAGCACAGATCCAATTTATTGTCACTAACAATAATTTAAAATTAATTTTCCTTGGTAAAGGGTACTGTAGAAGGGGAAAAATTAATTGTTGCAACCTCGATGGTTGCTTCATGATGCTATGAGAACAAACCGTAAGATGTTATATTTTCGTGATTAAAATCTAGAAAAGGTAATAAACACTTAAGCAGTCCTTTTTCCACATTTACCAATTCCTTCCCCTAACCCTTATTCATCTTTCCCATTCTCTCATCCATTATGATAAAAGAATTGAGAAGAGAATTGAGGAACTATTTGATGGTGTGCTGTTTCATGGAAACTGATCGAAACAGCACGATGGAACATTCAATAATACTTCTTTCTATTGTCTGGGATTACCGGTTGTGACATAAAAATTGCCGTTCATATAAGAGGGAACTATACAGTAATATTAACATGCTGGAGTAATATATTGTAAGATAGACCAAGGGAACAAAATTCACTCCATTGTGGTGAATGGTTAGGTCAACACCAACAAAAGGGGGCATTTCCACAAATGGTCAATCATCTGACGGACAGACAAGCATAACAATCATCATAGTAAACTGATGATAGACTTCAGTAGCAACTTCAAGGAAGCACAGGGACAATTAAAACAGATGAATAAAGAGGAGAGGATATGACTGTGTCACATCGAATAATTTGTCATCATATAGCGTCGTGACACATGCACTTATGTTTGCAAGGGAATATTAAGGGAAGCAAAACACGTTTTTAACGTATCAGACAATGATTCTAGAAATGTTTTAGGGGCTAAACTTGCAAGATAATCCAATAATGAGGAGAGGAAGAGAGGGAAAGTGAGAGGGAGAGAGAGAGAGAGGAGGGAGGGAGAGAGAGAGGAGGA